TTCTTGAATAAGAAGTCTCGATGAACTGTGACGATATTTTTGAGAATTACGACGATTGTGCGGATTGTTTCCAAGAAGTTGGAATGTGGGTGATGACGGCTGGCGAAGATCCAATTGATGAGAATCATATTTTTGTTGACAAGGATCCATGTGAATCTCTTGAGGTTGTTGAATGGATTCAACAACGCCGGCACCAATACCACTATCATCTTGCGAATGAAATATGAATTGTGGGGTTGAATGAGATAGTGAATGTTCGCTCTGATGATTACAGGACGACGACGGTGGTGGCGGGTTCACGTTCTTGGCCGATGGTGAATCATTCATCGTCGCCCATCTAGAGGATGGAGTTTCATGAGGTTTCCAGCCTTCGTTCATCACGTACGTTATTGCATTGCCCGTCCCACCAGAGTGTATTCCTTTTAGTTAGTGATAACAAAAAAATAAGATTTATATATAGAAGAAATGATAAGTTCTCTTACATGATTTCCTTGTTACTCACCTACAACGCAAATAATGTAAAGCCAAGCAGAATGCACCTGAAACACATTGGTCAGTGCGTAAATTTGCACCGGAAGCCACTGTATGTAGTAATTATCACGTGCTCTTAATAACCGACATTTCTACCAGAAATTCATAAAGCTACGTGAGAGCAGTTACCTGTATAATGAACACAAGAAGATAACTCAACACTTTATTCAACGCACGCTTTTCCAATTCACTCCGCCTCCTTGATATTTCGGAACGCCTCCGTCTTTGATTGTTGGTACTGATGCTCTTTCTAAACTTTCGAATGTTGACAATACCTCGAATATTAAAATTAAAATTGCACCTAAAGAAATTTCGAAGACCTCGACCATAGAAATTAGAATTTCTAGAATTATGATTGTTGGATTCACGCGGCCTATAGACATTATTTCTTGCCGCATCAAGAAGAGTTCTTAGGATGAAGATGCAACAGGTGATGACGAGGATGAGGATGATGAAGATTAGAATGAATAGAAAGGTGAGTACGAACGAGCTGTCATATTTCGTAGAACACCTGTTAATGGTGTAGAAAAGAGTCAATTAAGTGTCAAACGGTATATTTTTAAATAATTCTAGATTATAAAATAAATAACTACCAATATTTTTGATCGACAATCGATTGAAATATTCCCGAAAATAGAAGCACCATTAACCACAACTTATAATCATATTTTCCAAAATCAATATAAATTTCTCGGCATACTCGAAGATATGTGGTTATGCTGCGTGTATTATACAAAAAAAAGGCGCATAAGCGAAAAAGTAAAGAATGCGCGTGTCACGTCACCTATATCACGTGACAAATAACAAACGAACCTTATAGCGCTATAAAGTGTCAAATTTAGAGAGATGAAAAGATAGTTGAATGCACCAAGTACACCACAAGTTGGTTGAGACCAGGATATTGCATCCGTTGATGTTTGATACTGCGAAGGTTATTATAATCACCATCATGGATATGAAGAAAATGTTAAGCTTTGGCACTAGTCAGAATATGGATTTTCTAAAACAAGAT